ATGACTGAACTTGGGCAGCCATTAACCAGCTATTTGATAGGAGTCTGGGGACAGAATGCTTTGGGATGGCTCTCTTCCCATGCCTGGATCCCCGTAGCTTGCTGATAGCTGACTGGCGGGCTGTTGGAAGGCAGTTGTGCTGAAGAAAGAGCATGCCCAGAGAGGCATCTTTGCGCACGCTGTTCTCCATCACAGTTCTAATCAGGAGTTCCTTATTGTTGTTTCCATGCTGTGCTAGAAGTGAGAAAATAGGTCTGCTGCATCCTTATTGACGAGAGGAAACAACATACATTAGACTGGCTGAATTTAAATCCCATTGATGCCCTTAACCATGGCACAGCCATACGCTGTCAATACCAATTTCCCCATTGTCCCCATGAGGTTACCGTCACCTTATCCTCAGCCACGAGTAAGACCCCCAGCCTTAAGTCGTCACTAGTTCATTGGTATAAAACTAGTCTTTTCCTCTCCTCTTAGTCTGATCCAATCCAAAAACAGCCACAAGGTGCATAACATCTGTTTCATTTCACCTATTACCTTGGAGATAAAGTCAGGTGACCAAGAGTGGGAATGAGAGGACAGTGGGGAGTCATACCCCTTTCCCTCTTTGGACTAGCCAGCCTCTCTCAGCTGTTTCCCTGTCACCCTCTCCATTAGCATGTTGGAAAGCAGACCATCTCTCTTTGATATTGGGAGGAGGAGGGCATGCAAATCGCATCTATTTACTGTTCTCTCTCTTTGCCCCTCCCTGGAAGAAAAGGTGGCTTCAGCTACTCAGTTTCAGTTCTTCTGCCTTGCAGGATTTATCTAATTGTCCAATCACAGCAGGAGCTGTCTCCCTCTTCTCTGGCTCTTTGTCCCCAAGGTTTTACCTGATATTTAACTTGAGAGATGCCCAAATTGGGTATGTGAGGAAGGTACAGCAGCTACCCCATTTCTCTTGTAGTACCCCAAGTGATGGATGTTTTCCCCAGTGACTGATGGCACGCTGAACATGGATGGTAGTAAAGCCAGAGGAGAAAACCAATCACAGTGTCTGTAACAGGTGTGATTTCTAGAAACCAGGACAACACCATTCAGCAGTAAATCAGAACAAATGCAGCAGAGGCAGGATAGGGATTGGCAACAGGAACTATACATTTTATGCCTGCATTACTTTGTGCTGACTGAAGGATAGGTGCATAGTACTTTAACTCAGTTTATTAGATTCAGGAGATACCACACATTGAAGTCGGGTTCCTCCAAAGCAACAGATCCAAATTGGAATCTACCTGAATGTTTGTAAGTGATTTGGGGGGACAGGAACACAGGCTGTGTATTTTCCAAATACGGGAAATGTCCAAGTGCAGAATTAAGTAGCTTGTTTCACTGCTTTGGGTTCTGCTCCTGGTGACTCTTGGTATATTCAGGAGAACATACACCCAAAATGTTCTATTGCATTAGAGTCATCCTAACTTGATAACCTTCTTGTGGGAAACATGCCCACTTCAATAAGGAACCAAAGCAATTGGAGATAAGTGAAATGAAGCATGTTTCAAAAACCTGCAACAAGGCCAGCATCCAACTGTAAGTGATTTCAAGCAACTTTGGTTGAAAGATGCTGAACAAATTCTTAGATATGCCCCTGCAGGGGGTTCTCCACGCCCTCTCTACCCAAGGGGGCACGTGTCACCAGGTTGCTAGCAGATGTGGAGTAGGGCAGAACTAATTATGTCTGTATTCTGAATAATCCTTTAATAATTAAGAGGTAATGGAACAACCTCCTCCCTCAAAGGAGAATTTACTACTGCTAGAACCCACTCACACGACACTCCCCAGGCTCCCTTAACAAGCCAGGATGGGCATGGATCTAAAGAGCAGGTGGCTGAGCTCAAAGACCTAAGGACCCTGTCCACTTCATCAGGCCCAACAGGTTTAAACCGTTCCCAGATAACCGGGCAAGACTACACCCCAGGCACCTCCTCCGGACCTGCAACAAGGCCAGCCTCCAACTGTGAGTGAATTTGAGCAACTGTGGCTGAAAGATGCTGAACAAATTATTCCGCACAGCCCTACAGGGGGTTCTTCGCACCCTCTCTACCCAAGAGGGCAAGCGTCACCTGGTTGCTAGCAGATATAGAGCAGGGTAGAACTAACTATGTCTGCATTCTGAGTAACCCCACTATGCAACTTTTAAGATGCTAAGCAGTAATTAACCTTTCAGGTATACCTTCTAGATTTGATCCCTTGCTATTGCAACATAGTTCTGAAAAACCTTTGCAAAAGTTGCAAGTGGGGAATTTTCTTTGAAGAACATTTCTACAGGCTCGGACAAATGAGGACATGCTTAACTGAGATCAGTTAATCAGTGTTTCCCAACCTCTGCAACTCTAAGATGTATGCACTCCCAGAAATTAACCCACCCATGATGTCTGGGGAATTCTGGGAGTTGAGGTCCACATGTCTTAAAGCTGCCAAAGTTGGAAAACCCTGAGCTAAATCAGAGAAGTCCAGATCGTAGCAACAAGACCAAGCACAGCCTTATCACTATAGTGTTAAACATCTAAGCTTTCAGTGAGTAGAACTGAAGTTAATATATATGGTGTAGGTGTTCTTGTGATGTGTACCAGTAGTTTGCACCTTTCAGGTATACCTTCTAGATTTGATCCCTTGCTATTGCAACAAAGAAAATTCCCCACTTGCAACTTTTGCAAAGGTTTTTCAGAACTATGTTGCAATAGCAAGGGATCAAATCTAGAAGGTATACCTGAAAGGCAAAGAAAATTCCCCACTTGCAACTTTTGCAAAGGTTTTTCAGAACTATGTTGCAATAGCAAGGGATCAAATCTAGAAGGTATACCTGAAAGGGATCCCTCATATTTAACAGTCACATGGCAGGCAAAATTACCCTGGTCTTTGGCATGTTAGATATAGCTGCTGACATTAGGAAGACCAAATGGGTGAGTTAAGTTTGGTTTGCTTGTTCTTATAAAAACTTGCCAAAAACCACATTTTCCTATGCGTGGAAAATTTTTTATATCCCCAACATTTAAATCTGGGAGTCAGATTTGATCATCCCTAAAAGAGGATCATCATTTTCTGATTGTCTGTTAAACATCATCTTTCCAAGAGGAAGCTCCCTGATTCTATGCATATCTGGGGAAATGGCCTAGGAGAGCTGAGAATTTCTGCATATATAAACAAATGGTTTAGAATGTATGTTGGATTGTTCTTCTCAGCTCTATCCCACATGAACAGCTTTTTCCGGTGCATAAAAGGAGAAACAAGGTTCAGGCGCAATATGTGCTATTGTGCAAATATTTAACTTTATATGTAGGTTTGAAATATGGCTGATCCCTGTTTGATTCTCAGTGATATCTGGACTTTCCCTTTGGGATACTGCAAAACATAACGACGCTATGATGTTCCCTGATCTGGATTTCTCATAATATCGCAGGCTCTACACTGTCCCTATTTTTTCCTGATACAGTTCTTCCTCCCAGTGTTTTCAGGGATGCAGCTGGGAGACCCTTTTAATGGTGTAGCACTTAACTGGACTAATTTCTCAGCCAATAGCTTTCCACATGTCTCCATACCCTACAGAATGTCGGTACTGGCCTCTCCTGTGTGCTGCTCTTGTTCAACTTGCTGGAATTTTGTATCACTGTTCCACTTGCACATTTTGGGTGCCAGGCAAATTGCTGTGCTGATGACCAGGTAAGTTTTGGATGCTTTGATAATAGTTTTACCAGCTCTTATTGAGAAGTTAAAGAAGAAGATTACCCATTTTTCTTCTTACATTTACACCCCAGCCAACCTTACCTTTTCCTTCTTTCTTTACTATACCCCTGAACAACAGGTTAGGGCAGTGTTTCCCAACCTCAGCAACATGAAGCTGTATGGATTTCAACTCCCAGAATTCCCCAGCCAGCATGTTGGGTGGGGAATTCTGGGAGTTAAAGTCCACACAGCTGCAAGTTGCTGAGGTTGAGAAACATTGGGTTACAGTAAGAGATTACCTAATCTGAGTTTACCCAACAAGCTTTCTAACTAAGGGGGACTTGAATTTTGATCCAACACCTGTGGTTACTTGCTTCTGCATATGAATAACTTGCTGCCACACATTTTTCCCAGTTTCTGTTTTGTTAGGGAAAGAATGCCATGAATACAACACAGTTTGTGTTTTCTCTGCCATTTTGATTCAGTGAGGCAGAAGTTGATTTCTTTATTTCAGAGGGCTCAGTCCTAAATGCATATATTTACTGTAGTCGTGAGGATAGCTAGTGGAAAATTCTATTAATTAAATTTATTTTTTAATTATCATTAATTTAAAGTATCTGTCAGTTGATCACAGTTTCTCACAATGTTACCTTTTTTAAAAAAGTACTTAGATAAAAAATTTAGGTTTTTTAAGTTGTTTTTTAAAAAATAAAGGATAATTTTTAATTCAGAGACAAATAGCTCAATACATGACTGTCGTATGCTACCTGAGATCTCCGAATATAGGTGTCGCAATAAAGGGATTCTAACAGCACTGAAAAGGCCTCTGGAAAAAATACTCAGAAACAATCGAATGACAAACCAAGTACATACATTCCGCTTTGGCAGGTTCTTGTGGTAGGTCAGAAAGCCGCGTCTTTCCCTTGTTCTGCAAAAATGATGGTTGGCTTCCTTCTGTACCGATAACAAATACACTCTCCCCCAACCTTTCAAAAAATTCTTTAGATTAATTTGGGAGGGAGGGAGAAAATGGGACAGGACAAACACTGACGTGGGTAAATGTGATTGGAATCTGACAAAATAGAAGAACTCTAAAAATATGGTAAGCAGCCAAATCAGGATACAGAGATACCTGTATCAATTCACAGTAAGTTGAAGCCATTTCAGGAAACCAAAAAAATACGCTTCCCTGGAGGGAGATGCATCTGCTTCAGGCCTTAAATTGCTAAAATAAGTTAATAGTCTCCTAACAGCTTTCTGAATAAATCATGACAATATTTATTTCTTTATGCAAAGCCTCAGTTCAACAAGACCCTAGGAGGTTTACAACAACACAACAATAACAATACAAATGCAGTAACATAAAATATAAGCAATATATAACTCTAATAAAAATGAGTGTACAAAACAAAATCAGTCCCAAAGAAAAGCAGGTCTTTGCCACTTTCCAGAGGACATCAGAGCAGGTGCCATCTTTGTTTCAGAAGGTCAGCGATTCCACCCAGAGAACAGTCACCT